TAGATATGGCGATGGGCGAGTAAACTCACCTTGTGGGAGCAGCCAGATGCCGGCACTCTTTAATGAACAGCGGCTAATATATATAATTGGCAAGAACGCTATGAGGACAGCCGACACATCATGGCAAAATAAACCGGCCTTATCACCAATTGTATCACTTGCCTAGCTTACCAACTAAATTGCTGAGAGCCGATGGCGTTCAGCCCAGCCCCAGCCAGGCGCATGTGTTAAGTACACCGACTCACCTAAAACAGTCGGCACTTGGTTGAAAAGGCATGAGCTCAAACTCAAACTCAAGTAAAATGCAAGTAAAATGTTGAACTCAAACTCTCGGTTGACGGCTGCGCACCTTGGTTATTAATGGTGTCCGAAACCGTTTAACACCAAAAAGTTCCTTGTTTGAGAATGTGCAAGACGATATCTCAATGTAGAACTTCAAGCTAGCTCTAATAAAGCAACATATGAGAGAACGAGAGAATGTTATGCATGGCTTGATATGCAAGATGGGTATGGACGCCTGAATTTGAGAAGTCGTTTGTAAATTTTCAGAATAGGCGGCCCTCGTTGCCAGTCCACCATTGAGGCGCCCGCACAAGCCAAGCCGGCCTTAGGCTACAGCCGGCATTAGTGGTTGAGCACAGAGATGCACCTAGCTAGTCAAGCCTTTGGCTGTTTAACTACACCTAGTGTCCTCGCTAAACTAATGAAAGCAGGCGTCAAAATACAAGGCTCCCAACTGCCTCAATACAGCCAGCTTTATGACACCTATGCTTGAACAACCGGCTCCTAGGCATCGTTCCTCAAAGCCAGCAGGCGGCAGCCGGCCCCAACCCAGCCACTAAGCACCCGACCTGCCAGCTCTAAACAGCCGGCTGTTACACGAAAGAAATTATCATCAAGAAAATTATCATGGGTACGAGTACAACTAGCATCATTATGCTAAGCCCAACATCATCATGATCATGCATCGTGGTTTTGAAGCTGAGAAGATTGGATGTCTTGCCAAATGAAAGCAAGCGGCATGCCGAATGTCTGGTGGTATGATTATCATGGTTTCGTAGCCTTGGTTTAGGCGACCTCAATCATTATTATGATAAAAAAAATAAAAAAATAAAAAAAAAAGTATAAGATGCCCTAAAAAATGTTGCCTAAGGTTATTAAACCAGGCAGCATAGGCGGCACTCTATTGAAGACCGTCTTTCTTCGTGGATTACCTCCACTTGTTTGCATGACAGTCTATCAGGCAAGAAAAGCGGCATGAATACTAGCCGACCCCCTATACAATGAAGTCTCGTAGCTATGAAAGCAGCCGACTCTCATTAATAACACCATCCATCCTTTATGGAAGGGAACTAGGTGATCCATCTGCTCTAACACTTGAAATGATTTCAATACTTGATACTGATTCAGAGGGGCATGCCACCTGTACCTTTACAGTCGGCTACTCTCCATTGAGTATTTTACTCTTTATCTTCAAAGGGGCATGCCGCCTGTACCTTTATGGGCGGCTACTCTCCATTGGTTATTTTACTCCACCAGAGGGGCATGCCGTCAAGACATACAGTCGGCCACTCTCCATAGAAGAGGGACGACTGTTTCCAAAACAGACAACCACCCCCTTATACTTAGCTAAAAAAGATTAGGGCCAGGCCGACCATGTGCCTAAACAAGCGGCTGCCCTCTTCTTACTTAGCACCTACGTTCGCCAAGAACTAACCAAGGCCACAGGCCCGATGATCAGCCCAGGCGCCAGGCCGACTGATCCTCCCTTAAAATTAAACTAATACGACCTGTCCCAACATAATAGCAGGCGTCCGGCGGCATCCCTCCGGATGAAATTCGTCGCAGAGAGCAGCTCCCTTTTGGGTGGAACATTGCTCTATAAACTAAGTACACGACACCTAGACGACTGTCCCCAAGGACAACCACGTAGCCGTTTTTGAGACAAGGATAACTCTATCACTAACCAAACCAGTGGTAGCAGTTGACATCTGAGTCAGATGACCCCCTGTATTACTTGGGATAAATGCAGGGGGTACCTCTTGAGTTAATAGCCAATAAACATTGGCGAATCAAAAGGTTCAGCCGGCCTCCGCCGCCTGGTACCTTTACTACTCAAGCAGGAGTGACGGCGACTGAGTAACACCAAAGTCAACTCATAGGCACTCCCTCAAACTTGGTATGGAACCTAAAAGGTTTGAGTAGACCGCCTGTTTTTTAGCAAACAGGGGCACTCAAACCCCTATTCCTACTAGGTAACCACTCCTTGGGTTAATAGCCAACAAACATTGGCGAATCAAGGGGATCAGCCGGCCTCCGCCGCCTGGTACCTCTACTACTCAAGCTAGAGTGTGACGGAGACTGAGTAACTCCCATGTTAACTCATAGTCACTCTCTCAAACTTAGTATGGAGCCTAAAAGGTATGAGTCGCCCGCCTGTTTTTAGCAAACAGGGGCTCTCAACCACTACTCCTGCTAGGTTAACAACCTTTGAGTTAATAGCCAAGAAAAAATTGGCGAATCAAGGGGACTATCCGGCCCCCGCCGCCTGGCTTCCCTACTACTCAAACAAAAGAGGCCAACGACCGAATAATGCTAAATGCTTACCCTTGTGCAATAGTTGACAGTCCACCTGATCAGGAGCTATCTGCATAGTGGGGCAAAGAATCGACATCTGTCTAGTTCGGCGGCAATCATTATTATGATTGATTAACCTTGAAAATGTCATACCGCCTAAGGTATCAAAATTTTCTAAGTTAATCAAGTCCATCTCCCATTAGAACTAGACAAGATGCCGACCTAGCAAAGCTTCGAGGGTCTAACTTTCGAAAGGAGCAATCCCTCCTCGAAAGAGAAATTACTCCTTCTGAGGGGCAAATGTTTAGGGTAAAAATTACCCATGACAAATGGACCAATCCGGACCTGCCACGTGTCCACCACGTGGGCCAATCAGCGTTCGCCACTTGTCACCCTAAGAGGTCCAATATGGACTAATCAGGCCACGCCACGTGGCCTCCCATATGCCAAATAGGCAAAATGGCCACCAAGGCCCAAAGTCCGAGAGAAGCCCAATTTGCCCTGGTTAACCTAAACCTAGGATTGACACGCTTCTCAAGACTATAAATACTTAATTAGTCCTTATTAAAGGGGATTTAGCAATTGATGGCTCTCACCTAGAGAAGTCTAAACACATTGATCACTCCTCCCCTAGAGGAACCAGATCTCCCACCTTTACTTTCCGCATTTATTACTCCTCAAACAAGTACTAACTTGACCGTTGGAGGCGGAGCTCCCACCACAAGGAGTCTCCGTTGTTTTGCAGGTACAGGCGCAAGGATACCAGTCCCGGAATTGTAACTCTCCCGCAGGACATCAGAAAACCCCGAAACAATTATTATCATACTAACTAATGTGTTTGTTCCCATGTGATGTTACCAATAGGAGTAATGACGATATTAGGTGCTAAATTAGCCCTAAATATTTCATTATTCCATATTAGAAAGCCAAACCTATTGGTGAGGTGATAGGACATGGAGAAAAGGTTATTAGGTTTTAATGCATTTGCATTTTTTTTTTATCTTTAATTTGTCTATTTAGTGTCAATGCATTCATGTCTTTGTCTAAAATATATTAAGGATAATTTTCTTGTTAAAGTGAATTTAGAGACCTAAGGAAGTAAGAGTTTATGCAAGATGTTCAAGAATAAGGAGCAATTTACAACGTCCTCGTTATTGCCAATTTAACACATCTTAAGTTTTGGATCAGCTCTTATTCTTTGACTCAAATTGTAGAACTTTTCAAAAGCTTTCCAACCGTATCTCATCATAATTTTTTGCGATTACTCTATGATTTTTAATGAATTTTCTCATTCAGGCTGTCTAAGTAAAAAAATATAACTCGTTTTTCTCCCTTAATTCTTTTTGAAAAATATTAGAATTTTACTAAATTATTTTAAGAAACCAATGGTGTCATAAAACTTATATTACACCATATTATTTAATTTTAACTTATAAGTTTTAATTGTTAAATGGTTTTTTGAAACTTTAATTTTATCTAAAAGTGACTTTAGAAATAAAAGAAGTTTTAAGAAACTTTAATTTCAGTTTAAGATGACTTTAGAAATAAAAGTTTTTTATAAATTTTGTGAACACTTTATTTCAAATCCTCTTATATCACAAGAATGAATCATAACATTGCATGCTTGTTTAAATGGTTAATGATAATTAATATAAGGTAATGGCGGCCTCATTTCCAAACATGAGGTTAAGATTAGTTATTTAGTTGTAACAATTATCCATCTCCATAAAAAATAAGTCTTTATCCCATTATAATTTCCCGATGGATTAATTGACAATTGGATATGATTAAATAGTTTATTGTTCCCTTTTATTTGGAAGTAAGACCTTGACAGATGTCGTGTTTTATTTGGCCAATTCCATTAGCCTAAACACATAACCCTTAAAACATACATTACAAAAATTATGCTCGAGTGATTGTAAACCCAATGTGAGATTATATAGTGAACCCTTATCGTTTCACTCCAAAAAATACCTTGACCCACCACAAGTCGTCAATTGGGACGCATTTGCTGAATTGTCTTGTTCAAAGGACATTTTTTTTGGGCAATATCAATCAAGGTGGTTCATTTTACTTTTATGAGTGAATCCGTCAAAGATCATTAAAATTTCACTTACCAAAAAAAAATGATGCTGCTTATGTCCATTACCCAAATTGAAAACCCAATGGAATTGGTTATTTCAGACACGACATCTATCCGAATTACGATGATTTTGATCCGTGAGTGGATTCAAATTCCACTATGATAGGTACGTAGTGCAACTTCGGTGCTCAAATCTACCTTATACTAATTATTATATCTCCATGACATAATTTCATTTTGTGTGAAGAACATACCTCAAAACTAGACTTTATTTATTATACCTACGATAAATCTTTTATAAACAACGCAATAATAAGAGTCTGTTCCTTAGAACGAAAGAGAAGATGAGTTCCAGACGTTCGACTCTCTTAACTTTAATCCCGAACCCAAGATTGTGTCATAATTTTTTATTTATTTATTTATTTTATTTTTTATTTTTTTAATGGAGTTAGCAGTCGATTTCAAGTTTCATTTTTTGAATTTGACCGTATTAAATTCGTTCTTGGTTGGATAAAAATAAGGGGGTGACTCTCAATTTTTCATTAAAAGTCTTATCAAACTCTTCAGTGAAACCTGTATAGACTAATCTGTTGTCTACTAAAACCAAATACCACAGGATCATACTTCATTATATGTTGTAATTCTTGATAATTGCAATGCCACAATGGATATTTTTACATTTATTTATGATCAAAGTATCATTAATACTATATTTAATCAACACACCTAAATCATGTCTTTCCCTGAGTAAATTAAAAACTCAACACCCATACACCTCCTTTAATTTAATTAAGACCCCTCCACGCCACCAGTGACCAGTCACATACCCCCATATAAAAACAAAGAATTGAAAAAGTCACAACTGCTCTTTACCCAAAATAGTGAGAAAATGAAAGAAAACCGCCAAATAATTAAAACCCATCATAAAACCACGAGCTAATTATTCCAAAATGGCAATTGTATTTCGGACAACAAAATTACTCGTATTCTAAACACCCCAACCAAAAAAATTCAAAATATAATGCAAAAACTAGCCTACTACTCGTACTACTACTAGTAGATCATCCATGCTAAAGAACGTCTCCCCAACATTTCTATATAAAGCTGACTACTTATTCCCTTTCTCTCTCTCCTTCTTCATCATATTTTCTCTGCAATTTCCTTCTCTTCTCCACGTTCTCTCTCCTCTCATCATCATTTTCATCCTCCATTAAACCCCCTATTCAAACCTCCACTTTCTCGTAAGTTTTTTATTTTAATACTAGTAATTTTTTTCTTACGGTTGTATATTTTTTCTTACCATTTTCTCACTCCTCTTCCCAGGTTAAACGATGTCGTATCGTGGGGGTAGCAGCAGCGGCGGCGGTGGACGAGGCTATGGCAGAGGCGACTCCGGCGGACGTGGTCGCGGCGATTACGGGGGTCGTGGTCGTGGTGACTCAGGAGGAAGAGGCTATGGCGGAGGACGCGGTGGTGGTGGTTCAGGGCCACCGAACGTCGGGAGTTTGACGAAAGCTAACTGGGATGCGGCGGCGGGTGTTAGGCTGCTCGACGAGATGAAGAAACTGAAAGTATCGGAGTCGTCATCGCAAAATAAGGGTGGAAGGAGTCGTAAACCGTTAGTGATGCCGAAACGGCCTGGGCCTGGTAGTGTTGGACTTCGCTGTGCTGTGCGTGCTAATCATTTTCTCGTTCAACTCTCTGATAATGACTTTCATCACTACGATGTAAATCTCTCTCTTCTTCTCCATTTTTGTAATTTTGTAACTTTTTTATTTGAAAAGTTTGTTTTTCATTGATGATGACGTCATTATTTCTGTGAATCTGGTTGATGAATGGGTTTTAATGTTGATGGATGTTAAAATGTGTTGAGTTTTTTTTCCAGGGTTTTTGATGGGAGTTTTGTCTTAATTTTGATGCTACCTTGATATTTGTTTTTGTTTTATTTTGTTGATGATGTCATTCTATTTTTGCCATTTTTTTAAAAATATTTTCCCCTTGTTTTTTATTTTTAATTTTTTATTTTTAGGGAAAGGGGGTTGACGGTAAATACGAAGAATGTGAATGTCACATATTGTCACAATATTTGTTGTAAAATGTGAGTCATTTCAATTTGGGTGTAATGTTTATGTGTTGCTGTTTATCAATGTTTTAGTGAGAATGATTACTTTGTATATTTAGGTCTGTTTTATAAAAGGATGGATTATTATAAAAAAAATAAAATAAAAAAAAATCCGTAATAATATGGTTATGTGTGCTTTGGGCTTTGGCTGTTATTGTTAATAAATATACAAAAATCATAAATTTGGTGAAGAAATCATTTCTCCTATGAATAATATTGGGTTTAAACTGTTTTGTTACAAACTCTGATTATTGGGTGTTGTTCTGTAACGGTATGCTCATTGATGGGGTTTTAACGATTTTGTGAAGCTTACACAGTTGCACACAGTTTGATGGGTTTTTAAATGATGGGTTTTAGATATTTATTTGTTTGTTATTACATGTTTTTTGTGGTTATGTTGAGTTGGCAGATTTTTGCAAAAGATGATAGGTAATTATGCTCTTCATCTAACTTTGTGTTTTTGATGTTACAAATGGTTTGTTAAAAATCTATTCATGTGTTTATGTGTTCATTTTAGTTACTGATGTTATTATGTTAATATATTGTAATGGTTGGTAATTGGTAAGCTATCCTTTGTATATCCTTTGGTGCAATTTTTTTTTTCTTAGAGTCCTTTTAATATTGTTCATTTGGGGCGGTTATTGGGTGAGTCGGGTTTCAATATGGTTTAAACGGTTTGTTAAAAAGCTATTCATGTGTTTATGTATTCATTTTAGTTACTGATGCTAATATATTGTAGTGGTAATTGGCAAGCTATCCTTTCTGTATTCTTTGAGTCTTTTTATCTTGTTTATTTGGGGTGGGTTAATGGGAGAGTTGGGTTTCAATATGGTTAATCGAGTACGCTTCCTGTTCTAGTCTTCAGTGTTGGACTTGAACAAAGTAATCATGTGTGGTGTGTTATGCTGGCTAATTCAAGTCATTAAGTGGCCAATATCCTAGTTTTTCTTATTGCTCTCTTTTACCTATCTGTGATTTTCTATAAACATTAATTCGTTTTTGGTATCTTTTTAGTCTAAATATTTCCATGTAATCCTGCATTGTGCTGTAAGGACCTTTTTATACTGTAAGTCATTAATTAAGTATTGAAATAAAATTTTAGTAACATTACATTGCTGGAAAACTAAGTGGTAAGAGACTCATAAACGGGAAGAAAAAACTCCTTATATGTAGCTTTCATTAATCCTCGTATACAAGTAAAACGCTGTGAGTAAGAGCATTGTGGAAGAAAGTGAGAAGTAATTTTTTTGGTTCTGTGCTCCTCGTTTAGTATAATGTGGAGTACTTTTATTCTAGCTTTCACTTATGTAAGTTTTTGTTAGGTATTGTAGATAACAGTAAAGACTAAAGAGTGAAATGAGGAGGCAAAATTTTCAGTACTTTAAATTGCAAATTTCTCCTATAATGTGGTCAATAATTTCCCTTTCCGGATACGAGTTAATGTTTTAGTGTTATAATTTTTGAACTTTGACTCAGACAATGAGTGAAGGCTCCCATTATTTCTTGATGCAAAATATGCAAGTTTACTTTTGGAATTCTTCGTAAGCACTGTACTAGGTTTAGTCTAGGAACACTTATTTTATTTATTACTTGTATTTGTTTTCAAAAGGATGCTCATATCAATGGAACTGTTTGTAATGGTTTGTAACTATGGATATTAGTATGACCAACTTTATGCCCTTTGTTATCTATTGAAGCCATATACCCTTTTTAACTTGATGGCTTACTGATGCCGCTTTCTTTATGGAGCAGGTGTCAATCAGTCCAGAGATAGCCTCCAAGAATTTTAGTAGAGAGATACTGAATAAGCTTCTACGGGATCACAAGTCAATTTTGGGGAACAAGATTCCGGCGTATGATGGCAAGAAGAGCTTCTATACTGCAGGTCCTTTACCATTCACATCAAAGGACTTTGTCGTTGAAATTGAAAAACAAAGAAGAGGCAGTTCTGAGAGGTATTTTATGCTTCTATCTCTTTGAAATAAAAGGTTGTCTATTGATGGATATAACAAGTTTTCGCTAACCTTGTTTGAATTGTTATGTTTGATTGTCAGTGAGGTTCAAAAATTCCAGGTTACCATCAAATTGGCTAACAAGGTTGATATACATTTTCTGCAAGAGTACCTTGCTGGTCGATTCTCAGATTCTCCCCAAGATGCCATCCAAGTGCTTGATGTTGTTCTTCGTGCAGCAAAGCCTCCTACAGAGTAATATTTCTTATACATCAATCTTTTTTTTAAGTGTTTAACTCTCATAAATTCCTGTTGCCTTTTGTCTCTCGTTAAGATGCTGACAAATTTTGCTTGTTTTTTGTAGCTATGTGTTGATTGGGAGATCATTCTTTTCGGAATCACTGGGCAAGGATTCTCTTGGGGAAGGTTTAGAGTATTGGAGGGGGTATTATCAAAGCATTAGGCCAACCCAGATGGGCCTCTCTCTAAACATTGGTACACCCTTGGCTAAATTGTTGCAATATTTTATTGGGCTCTGATTGTAGTTCCACCTGTGCTAACCAGATTGACTAATTTGACATTATAGATGCATCTGCACGCCCCTTTTATGAACCGATAATGGTTCATGAATTTGTGGCTAATTATTTGAATCTGAGAGATTTCTCTAGGCCCTTTTCTGATGCAAATCGTATCAAGGTACTGTGGTACTAGTGTTACAGTGGTAATGTGTCGCATTCATCATTCCATTATTTTCATGCTCTGTAACTTTTATGTTTCTTTGTGCTTATTTCAGGTTAAGAGGGCGTTAAAAGGTATCATAGTGGAAACAAGTCATTTAGCATCCAAGAAATGCCACAAAGTGATAGGCGTGTCAAGTGAACCCGCAAACCAGCTGATGTATGGTTTTGGACTATAATGTTAAGCATGTTTTGTTTGACATTGAGAGTGTACTTGCATTCATTTGTGTTTTGATGTCTCAGTTGTGGCTATTGTTTGTTATTGAATTTTTGTGTGTTGGTACTGTTATCCTTCTACCTCTCTAGCATTTTTTCTCACCTCTCGGTGGGTTGATGCTGAATCTAACCTTATGTGAAGTACATTATACGGAAGCAAATTAAAATTGTCTTACAGGATTGTCAATGTTGTAAGCATGTTGATATAATGTCTTGTTAGAATATAAATTAATTAATAATGTCGAGCAAATTGTGTTTGTATGTGGGTTCTTAAGTTTGAAGGTATTGTATCTGTAAATTGGTAAACGAAGTAGGGGATAGCCGGTTGCGTGTAAAAGTAAAAGAATTTTTTTTTTTGCGGAAGCTAAATCGTAAACCTAAAGCTCTGATACCATGTTAAATATTGTGAAAACTCCTCCGCCTGGAGTGTATTCCATTGATCAAATATTGGGTTACAAAGGTGAGTCCTAATTACGTTAGGAAATCTCACAAGATAATTACAGAATATTCACAAAACTATGTCCTTCTATATAGAATAATATCTAGAATATTTATCATATTCTATCAGTATCTGATGTAAATTATTTCTAGTTGGGTTTTTGAACTTGCAATATCCAATACTAAGCGTAATGATGTTGCATTGTAGGTTCTCTCTTGGCAGTAATGACACCCAGTTGTCTGTCTCACAGTACTTCAAAGACAAGTACAAGATACAGCTTAGACATCCAGCTTTACCATGCATCCAAATTGGGTCGGCTAAGAGGCTTACCTATCTGCCCATGGAGGTCTCCTTTTTAATTCACATGTTACTTTACTTTCTTTGTATCATGCGTATATGATAAATTTTTTTCTTATTATCCTTGTAGGTCTGCCAAATTGTTCATGGTCAAAAATACCTTAAGAAGTTGAACGAGAGGCAGGTGACTGGTCTTCTTAGGGCAACCTGCCAAAGACCTCCTGAAAGAGAGAATAAAATCATCGCGGTAACCTTTATTGGAGAGTTTGTCATTCTGCTGTATTCTAGAATGTTTGCAGGATTTGTTGTACATGCAGTTGGTTTTATTAATCAACATTCTTTTTAATCTCTGAAGATGGTGAAGAACAATCGCTACTCTGAAAATCAGATGGTCAAGCAGGAGTTTGGAATGAATATAACTGAAGTGCCTGTAACTGTCGATGCCCGAGTATTGCCTCCACCAATGGTATGTTGGTTTTGTTGTTACAATTTCTGTTTAACTTATGTCTTGCTATTTTTTTAGTAAAGCACCCCCTGCACCTGCTGACTTGACAAGTTAATTCTTCCATTTTCTAGCTCAAGTATCATGACAGTGGAGCTGAACGAGAAGTTGCACCAGGGGTGGGCCAGTGGAACATGATTAACAAAGTAAGATTTTGCTATTATAACCTTCTTGTGGTTGCAGCATTCTTTATATTTCTCACTGGTCAATTTGTATTTGTAGAAAATGTATATTGGTGCTACTGTGTCTCACTGGACTTGCCTGAGTTTTTCAAGACTAGATCAAGTTTTAGTGCAGCAGTTTTGCAAGGAGCTGGTTGCCATGTGCTCTAGCAAGGGAATGGTATGGTTCAATAGATGAAAATTGTTAATTTCTTTGTGTGAATGTTTCCCTCTGTTGATTATTTTCTGTCATTGTCAGAACTTCAACCCGAACCCTTTTATTCGTATACGCTCTGCTCATCCTGCTCAGATTGAGAAAGCTCTTTCAGAAGTGGGAGATAAGGTGCAGTTGCTAATTATTATTTTGCCAGAAGTTACTGGGTCCTATGGTATGTGATTTTGTGACTTTGTCTATTCTCTAGATTTATATGTTGTGCTTGTTGGTTGAAAGTAACAGGGATTTCTGTATCCATGCAGGAAAAATTAAAAGAATATGTGAAACTGAGCTCGGTATAGTTTCTCAATGTTGTCAGCCTAGGCATGCTCAAAAACTTAGCAAGCAGTATCTTGAAAATGTAGCTTTGAAAATCAATGTGAAGGTAAGTGCTGAAAATTATGAGTCTAATGTGAGTACCTAACCACTTAATTTAGCATTTGTTTACCTACTGCTAAGCCAATGTTCGCCGTAGGCTGGAGGAAGCAACACAGTCTTGTGTGATGCGATACAGAGAAATATACCCCTCTTGACTGATCGTCCAACGATAATTTTTGGTGCTGATGTCACACATGCTCAACCAGGGGAGGACTCTAGTGCCTCAATTGCAGCTGTATGGGTTTTCAAGCTCTGTTGTCTTTCTTGTTAGTGCTATGGATGTAACGTGTTCAGTTTATAATCATTGCTGGCTATTGCAGGTTGTTGCCTCAATGGACTGGCCTGGGGTGACCAAGTACAGAGGGCTTGTTCGTGCCCAGGGTCATCGGGAGGAAATTATTAAGGATCTGTATGCATGTGCTAGGTAAATTAACTGTAAATGTTGCTCAGGAAGTTGCAAAATCATTATTCTTACTTGTGAGTTTCTAATCTATTTCTTGTGCTTGTAGAGAACTTCTGATAGCTTTCTACAAGGCAAATAATAGGCAGAAACCTGAGAGAATTATCTTCTTTAGGTAGAATTTGTTGCTCAAATTGTTTTCTGCTCAAAAACTTTGTGTCTCTCTCATACTCGCTCCTTTTTTATTGGGCAGAGATGGAGTAAGTGAAGGCCAGTTTGCTCAGGTTTTGCTGCATGAGGTTGATGTGATACGGCAGGTATCAGTCATTTGGCATATAGAAAAACTGAGCTTAATTTTCTAAATGAGTTGATTATTATGCTGTGACATGTAGTTGGTAGCAACAAGTAAGCCAGTCTGAACCCATACTGGATCCAAAAAAAAACGAATAGGGGTTTTTAAGGGAAAAAAAAAAGGTATGAATATTAAACTCTGCATATAGTTTTCACTATGCAACGTGCGTCCTACTGGTGAAACCTTACTTTTTAGGACGAAGGTCAGGGGTTCGAAACCCAGCACCTGTTTTTGATATCCCTGTATTTGTTTGGAGAGTCCGAACCCATAACGAGCAATTCCTGGAACCGCTACTGTTCTGTTCAATCCTTATTGTATAATGTTTTTGTTTTCAAGGCCTGCGAATCCATAGAAGAGAACTATCAACCACGTGTGACATTTGTGGTTGTGCAAAAAAGGCACCACACCCGTCTTTTCTCCGTAGATAACAAAATGATCGATAGGAGTGGCAATATTCTGCCAGGTTATAATATTTCCAAATTTATGCTATTCTTTCAAAACATTGTCTCTATTAATTGTGATCCTTGTAATGACTTTTCCCTCCTAATTATCTATCCCAGGAACTGTGGTCGACAGCAAAATTTGCCATCCATCGGAGTTTGACTTCTATCTATGCAGTCATGCAGGGATACAGGCAAGTTATTTTGGTTGGCTTCAGTCTGTTCGTTTGCCTATTTAAGTTTGACTGTCAATGATAATTCACCACTTAATAAGTTAATATTACTAGTCATTTGATTATGTGCATTTGCTGCCTAGTTGATTTCACTTCCTGCAACCCAATCTTGTGGTTTTATTGACATTGTGAATGACATGTTTAGGGAACAAGCCGACCCACACACTATCATGTGCTTTATGACGAGAACAATTTTACTGCAGACTTGCTCCAGCTGCTGACCAATAGCTTGTGTTACACGTAAATATCTGTTTCTACAATTAGTTTCTCAATGAATGTAATTACGAGTTTTTCCTTTCTCATTATGAACTCGCGTGTTTGAATCCTGTTTTTCAGGTTTGCTAGGTGCACACGCTCAGTATCTGTTGGTAAGTGTTAAAGAAAAGTTGTTTCTTTCTTTCATCAGCTCTATGTGTTTGGATACACTAACCATAAACCTTGATTGGCAGTTCCTCCAGCTTATTATGCACACCTTTTGGCTTTCCGTGCTCGGTATTATGTTGAAGGTATGACCATGTCTGATAGTGAATCAACCAATACCAAAGATCTGACCAAGGACAAACAAGCAGAGGTTCAGGCCCTTCCAAAGATCAAGGAAAATGTGAGGGATGTCATGTTCTATTGCTAGGAGGAATTGCAGCGTCCTCAACCTTGTTACTAGTTTTTGCAGTTTTCACTAATTTTCTGGGGCTATGAAGTACGAGTTTGCTATCGAATCGAATATCGATTTTAACTTATAACCTATGTTGTATATAGCTATGTGCGTGGAAAATGTGCCTAGGACTTTTAGTGTAAGGTACACTTATGAAAACACTGAAGTTTGGTCTAGTCTCAAGTTTTACAGTGTTAAAGTTCTCGTTGAGAATGTGAAAACTAATATTTAGAATTGTCAATATTTGGTCAAGACTTGATTAGTTAATTTTGGAATATGTTACTGTTTTCTTATTGTTAGCTACTGTGTAGTAGTAACACCCTCTAATATTACTACTACCGACTACGCAAGTGCCTACTATTTTTGTTAGAGAAATAAAATATCGGAAAATATATGTGATATATTTTTAGGATAGTATCGGAGAATAATGTATTTAGGTTTATTTATGTTAAGATAGTATTTAGTGAATATATGTTTAGGATATATTGTTATAATAGTACTCCCTTCGTTTTTTTTATAGGATAGAGATGAGATTGCGCGGAGTTTTAGGTGGTTTAATAAAATAAGATGTTAGTGTGGTAGATAAAATTATTATTTTATTGAAAAGTAAAGTGGTGTAAGAGAGAGTGGGGACTATCGAAGGAGTGAGAATTGATAAAGTAAGAAAGAGTGGGGATATTAGTGGGTAAAAATATATTATTAAATAGTAAGAGGGAGTGGGGACTATCGGAGGAGTGAGAATTGATAAAGTAAGAAAGAGTGGGGATATTAGTGGGTAAAAATATATTATTAAATAGTAAGAGATTTCCAAAAATAGAACTCTAGGTTATAAAAATAAAAACGGATGAAAATAGTAACTCTAGTTTATAAAAAAAAATGAAGGGAGTATATCTTTAAAAATATTGTTTCTTATCTTATGATCTTAGGTTTACTCAACCTATCGATGAATAATAATCAAGGAATACAAAGCCATTCTATTCACTACTTTAACCTAATTTGTCATCCTTCGGTGGGATTAACCTTTAGTTAAAACTATAGTTATTATTTTTTTTTTTCAAAAAAAAAAAATATTAAAAAATGCTTCCGCACTTTTTTAAAAGATCTTTGATATTGTTTAGTGTTCACAAATTGATGAACGTGAGTGGTTATTGATTGGTAGCTAGTGGTTTATGGTGTCTTAAGGCAAAGATGCAAACAAAAGCATCGATTTAAGGTTTTTTTTTTATTTAAAAAAATAAAAATAATTCAGGTCTCTTGTGTCGTGAGATAAGATATATCGGCTCTCCTTGTGTCGAGAGACAGGGAATATATTGATTCTCCTTGTACCGTGAGATAAGGTCAATAAGATGGTTCTCCTTGTGCCGTGAGACAGAGTTTGGTTTTCCTTGTACCTTGAAACGGCAGGATGTTGTACCTTGAAACGACACGACAAGTATATTGGTTTCCTTGTACCTTGAGACGACAAAGCAAGCATATGAAGATAAGAATGGACGTGGTTGTAGAAGATCACAAACACCAGCAAAGGGCGTGACAGAAGACCACGGACACCAGCAAAGGGACGTGGCTGCAAAAGTTTGTTTTTTTTTTTAGAAAAAAAAAAAAAATTGAAGGCGACATCAACAGAGTAGTGCAACTCGATCGACTTCAACAAAGTGAAAAATTTCCAATCGCAACGTTCGTGTTACTGCCGTTACGACTGCGGGAGGGTGTTAGAGATATGAGATATCGAAAAATATATGTGATATATTTTCCGTAGATATCATTAAGAGAATAATGTATTTAGGTTTATTTATATTAAGATAGTATTTAGTGAATATATCTTTAGGATATGATATATGTTTATAATAGTATATCTTTAGGAATATTGTTTCTTATCTTATGATCTTAGGTTTTGTATAAATACTCAACCTATGGATAAATAATAATCAAGGAATACAAAGCCATTCTATTCACTCCTCTACCCTAATTTGTCAATTTTACATATCATTTTGCATCCAAAAAAAACTATTATACATATCATTTTTTTCCCCTAATTGCATATGTTTGACATTAGCAGAGTTTATAAAATTTGATATCTTTAATTGACATAAATTAAACAAGATCAATTATGATAGAACTCATAGAAGGCATGACTAAAGTATATATGATCGGTGGATTTTGGGATTTTGAGATTTAAATCTGTAAAATAGATGAATTTGTTTTTTTATGCTCATGTTTTGTGATTGATCAAGATAGGAGCTTATTTCCAATTTCCCACAACCATGTTTTAGGCTATTCCTATTAGCTTGAAATAGGAGTTTAAGATCTTGTTTGGTAAAGAGATTTTTGAAGAAATTTTAGCTTATTGAATCTGGTAGAGATTTGGACACTATCAATAAACTAATTTTAGTGTTTGGTAAAAAGCTTACTAAGAGAGCTTTTCGGTCTCAAAAAGCTCTTTTTGGAAAAGCTCAAAACATGAGATTTTTTAAATTAGCTTATTGAACATTTAAACAGTTAATAATTAACAGCTATATATCAAACACTTTTATACAACGAACCATCTATTTACAACCAGTTAGTTAATTCAATTAATACAATCAGCTAGTCCAATTTGCTATATCAATCAGTTACTAGTTAGGCCCTGTTTAGTTCACCTTATTTTTACTTATCTAAACTTATCTGATCTAGTCTGGTCTGATCTGATCTGGTCCGATCTGAAATGATCTTATTGTCTGATTTGACCAAACTTTGACCTTAAGTGTACGATATTTTGTAAGGAAAAAATATATCAATTGGGATCTTGTTAGATTCGTAATAATGTGTATTTTTATTAACATGTAATTTTCATAATTTTTTTCATTACGAAATTAATAATATTTAGCGATAAAAAATTGCACATAAAACGGTGATATGATATATGAACTTATTTTTTTCTAATCTGATCTGATTTGAACTTATTTTTTCTTAAATAAGTAAAATAAGTTGAACTAAACAAGGCCTTAATCACCAAAAGGGCCTAAGTGTCATAAATGATTTCCCTTAATAATGTATCTCTTAATGTTTCTATCCCCAATGCTTGATTGCAATTTCATGAATGATTAAGGCCTTGTTTAATTCAACTTATTTTTACTTATTTCAGAAAAATAAGTTCAGATCCATCATCGTTTTATGTGCAATTTTTTATCTCTAAATATCTTTAATTTCGTAATGAAAAAAATTATGAAAATTACAAATTAATAAAATACACATTATTATGAATCTAGCAAGATCTCACTTGATACATTTTTTCCTTACAAATTATCGTACACTTAAGGTCAAAGTTTGGTCAAATCAGACAATAAGATCAAATCAGATCAGATCAGATCAGACTAGACCAGATCAGACCAGACCAGATCAGATAAGTTCAGATAAGCAAAAATAAGGTGAACTAAACAGGCCCTATATCAGGTTACCTTACCATAGTTCCTATTATCATTGAATCTAGTACCCTTTGTCTTAGCTAATAGCTAGTTTACATGATAATGTAAGGTAAGATCCAAGATTCGATCATGTAACGTCAAATTTTAACATTAATTTCCTTGATCCTTATCAGATAGATTATCATACATTTTATGTTATCTTTTGCAAACAAAAGATTTTCAGAAACAAAAGATTTACACGAAAACACTCTGAATATCATTCAAAGTTACGAGATGCGTGTTGATCCCAACGTTGGTGACTTGGTTTTTTGAAAGGAAACTTGATGCTACACATAAACTTCCAATGAGAAGTCGTCATGTCATTGTTAGCCAAAAAAAGGGGGGGGGGTTATTTGGGTTTAGGCGCCTAAATGCAAGATTGAGCGGAGAAAAAGCTTAGGCGCCATAATGCATTTAATGCATACTATTGTTAGTACTAAACAATTATATTATGATACTAATAAATAGAATTTGTTACTAGAAATAATAATGTCCTAGTCAGAGTATTAATGAAGAGAGGGTTTTTTACAAAATTGAATAATATATCATTTGGTAATGTTTCTAAACTACAAATCAAAAAATATTATAAAAGTATCAGTGAAATATTTTTTAATGCTGTTTCTAAAGACATCCATATCGATATATTTTCAAAAATGTTATATAGTTGGACAATATTAACCTTACTATAATTTTGTATTCTACCTTTATTTTGTACTTCTAATACCTATAAATATCGTTTTGTTATAAAAAATGGATATAACTTTAAAATAAAGTGGCGGAATATAAAAATAACATGTCAAATGGTTACAATAAAATATCGGATCGATTGTTCGTTACAATAAAATATAATTAACTGATGTGGTTTTATTCACCTTTGTGTTTAATCAAATTAATAAGAAGATTTCTAAATAATCCTCGTTTTGTTATTTTTATTACATCTCCGTTAGCATTACTAGTATGATCTCATTCCTTAATATTAATATTAGATAATTGATTAATACGTAATATTAGACACTTAAATTAATCTTGTAATACACAAATATTGACTCTCAAATTATTGTTGTAATACAAATACTGACTCTCAAAGGAGTAACTCTTGAAATAGTAGTACTTCTTGCTTTAACCACGCAAAACTAACGATAAAGCTTACATTGGACGATTTAAACCACGTAGTGAAGGGGTACAATCAAACAGTGGTGTGTTAGAATCAAACAATCAATAACATTTGTAATACAAAAAATAGTTATCAATAACTAATAAATAACCATTTAATTTTGACAAACCCCCCCCCCCCTTATACAAATAAAGTAGTTTATAACATCTTTAAAATAAGAAATAAAATGTTTGAAACTTTCTTTACTTGCAGGGAGATTTCTAAGTAATGACTATTAAATGGAATACTCAAGTAGGAATGCTAAAATCAAGTTGTGAAGGGTTAAAAGAAAATAGTAAAGGGTTAAAACTTAAAAATAAAACCAACTAAAATTTATAAAAATAGTTATCAATTACAAATAAATATACCATTTTTTCAAAAAAAAATATATATAATAAATGAAGTACAAATTATCGGTTACTAATTGCTTCAAAAAAAAATTATCGGTTACTAATACCATTTAGTGAAAAATTGAAAACATACAAATGAAGTACAAATTTTTTAACAAATTTATAACAAAACTAATAACGAGACTTGAGTTGAAGGGCTAAAATGAAGTAGTGAAGGGTAACAATTTATTAGTGGAGTGTTAGAAAAATATCATTTGGAATAGAAAAAATAGTTATAAGTTACTAATAAATATATCATTT